TGGAAGGGACAATTGTTTCCATGATGAGCTCTGCAACCATGCAGCATGATTTTGAATCCTACCTTCACCTATTACCACCTTTTGTGACCTTGACAAACCATTTAATTAAACATATCTCAGTTTCTCAGCTTAACCTGGGATAGCACATACCACGTTTGGTTGGTTGGACAGCTCCATGAGTTACATTTGTAAATTGCTCAGGGATGGTGCTGATTGAACTCAATTTTTGATGGAACATATAGACCCAGACCGTAAATGCATGCTGCTTCATTTTGAGGTTGAGTCCAAAAGGGAAAACTACTTTCTGACTCTTGAAATACATTCATGTAGAATCAGGATTTCATCTTAATGGAAAATTGTCTTTTTGTCACCAAACTTCATTGTTTGTTTATTAAATTTATGTAAAAGATATTAAGGTGATCATGCTTTACATTGATGGAATTTAAAATTTCAAACTATTTCCTTTTTATTTTTTAATTTCTTTTCTTGGATTTCAATATAAGCGAAAGGGTTAACATTTCAGACTGTACTAGTGTGTATGTTTTTTTAAAAAAATAATTTCGTGTTTAGGTTTCAAATAATTATTTCCAATCAAAATGTATTCCCTTAGTAAGACATTAACAAACTGAGGTTTACTAGCAATGGGAAAATGACAATTTGGAGTCCATTATCTGATGACAATGGGGTTACATTGGGGCCAATCGAATAAAACTATTCTTTCAATCATATCTGTCTTCACTATTATTTTCGACTAAATCATCAATTTTCACAGTCTCATGTCTTTTCAGCAGAAATGGCTGAATCCAGCATTCAATAGCTGAATGAACTGGCCAGATGGGAGAAAGTTCACACTCCTAGTAGTTTCAACAGTACAAGTTGGAATTAATGGTGGTCAGTGACAGATATCCATCCCCCCTTTGTTGTTACACTAGTTAGTGGTTATGTTTTGTATGGTAGAGATTTCACATATACCTCCAGCAACTTCAGTTATATCCTGGGACTCAGGACTTTGGTGCTTATTATTAAAAACATAGCATCTGTGGAATTTGGCATCCAGAATCTCAGTTTTACAATAATGATATTTCCTTTGATCCTGAAAAAAATTTAAATAATTTCCAAATAAAAATCTACATGGAATCCAATGACACACACAGAGCAGGCCTAAGAAATGGCAAGTCAGGATGTCCATGGGGCATAGATATACCACTTCCTTTTGAGCATCTTCATTTACTAGGAATCTGGTCACATTGCTTTGCCTTTGACTCCAAGCTAAAGGTCCTTCAATAGAGAAATTTTGCCTTGCCAGGAAGAAGAACTCTACATTCTCGGACTTTTAAGACTAATTTCTACTCTTATTGCATTCTAATTAAGAAGATTTGATTTCATTGTTTGCTTTCATAATTCATAGATATTTCCTTTTCACTCTAAAACATTGCTAATTGTGGAAATGACCCACTCGCACTTGAAAAAAGGAGTATTCTCTATGACCAGGTACATAAAGTCTACCTTACTGTTAATGCGGTTTAAATTCTCTGTATCATTATGTATGTCTATTTTTTCTGTCTTGGACCAAAAAAGGTGATTTCAGTTGCCCTATTTTTCATGCGTTTCTTTTAACTTATCTTAAATCTAGTGTAATTTAACCCTAATGAACTGCATGAATATTCATGACTGGTCTATTTTTATTAGGAAATTTAGTATGTAGTATTATAAAGAGCTCTTCTAAGTATATTTCATTCCAATTCTAGTGTGCCTAATACTAACATCCATGACTCTTGTTTTCTGATTGTTTCCATTTTCCTTGGCAGAGTTTTGCCCATTCTTTTATCTTTATCCTATGGAATCACTTTACTTGAGATATAAGTATAATTCTGATGAAAAATATGTTATAATGATTTCATTTGTATTTGCTTTTCACATATACACAAGGAATAACAAATTTGATAAACAATAATCAAATTACAAAACATTTCTGAGGACAGACTCAAGGTCAACAGACTTAATTGGTGAAAAAGCTGAGTTTGTGCATGAGCAGAGGTTGGTGGTGGCCTGGCAGGTAGAGCAAGTCACAGTTTCAGAACAGGGAGGAGCCCTGGGCCTCACTGGGACTGTAGCCATGTCCAGGGGAAGCCAGGGTCAGGCACTCAGAGCCCAGAGGAAACTCTAGGCTCAATTAAGGGACTCAGATTCTCAGCCTCATCCCATGTTGGCTCAAAGTACTGTGGGGGCTGGAGACATGCCTCCACAGGGGAGTTACCACGGGGAGGGCATGAGAAACAAGCCCTGTCCATGGGTTCTAGTCATGGTAGACTCTAGAGAGACATGAATTGTCTGAAGTTTGCTCAGAGGCCTAGAGCTACTACTGTATCCTGTGGCAGCCTATGGCATAGAGAGGTCCACTTCAGTTGCAAATGGTTGCCTTGGATGTCACAGCAGAGAAAACCCATCTGGAAGCCTTGGAATGTGTCGGTTCTTTAAGATAAAAGGGTCTCCAGCAGGGACAGGTGCAGGCCAGAATTCTCCCTTGGATAGAACTTCTGTGGTTCCTGGGCTTGATGGACAGAAGCATTGCCATATTTGGCAACATTTAAGAGGCATGGGTTCAGAGGGTTCAGACTAGTCATTGGTGGCAAATATGTCCAAATTCAGAGCTGCAGCTCAATCTAGGTTCAGTCCCAGGAGTTTCTGGCCACCGCAGTAGGAGCTGGGATTCGAGAGCATAGGAGTTGTCCATGGCTACCTGAGCCAAGGTCAAAGGGTTGGGCTGTCCTGAGCAGCATCCCTGGAGAACATTTTCAAAGGCACAGTGAATGCCATTGAGAGGAGCCAGGGGGACAAAGTCAGGGAGATCCAGGGTGATGCTGTCCAGGGAGAGCAGGCAAGGGCCAGGGTGCATCTGATTATCGGGATCCAGTGGGGGCCCCAAGGGTTGGAGATCGGGGGCACAGTGGCAGCCAGACGCTCTGGCAGGATGCAGGAGGCCAGGGCTCAGAGGTGCAGGCTCCAGCATCAACCCTCCATTAGCAGAACAGAGTTGAGGCTCAGTCCCCTCGGCTGAGAGTGCTGTGTCCTCCAAGACTCTCCTTTTGGCCTCAGGCAGGAAGGTTTGCCCTTGAAGCCCCAGTTCACGACGGCGACGACCTCGACCACGGCCATGACGAAACGACCACGACACCACGCAGGCCTCCTGTGCGAGGTAAGGAAAGGAGATCTAGGGTGGTTGGCACCAGGGTGAGCGGCAGGTGCTGGGCGGGATCTTGGAAGCTGTGGTCAGCAGTGGCCCCGGACGGGGAGCAGCCCTGGGACCACCAATGCATCTGGGGACGGAGAGCCCACAAGGGCGCCCGGGACCACAGCCCTACTGGAATGTCGGGCTCGGCGACTGCAGGAGTCCCTTGGGCCGAGCCTGGCTCTCCGACCCCTGGGGCCACAGACCAGGGACATCCGGGGCCGTGCAGGCTGGGCGGAGCCTCAGGCCCAGCGCGGCTCTCCTGAGCATGTGGACCTCGCTCGGGGTCAGCTCCTGGCTGGCCGGCGCCCTGGGCTCCGTGGGGTCCACAGCAACCTGGTCCCGGCCGCCCTTCCACAGCTCATAGCGCTCGGGTTGCAGGATACGCTCGAAGGCGTCCATGGAAAAGGTCACCCTGGCCTCCCCGCAGCTGCACTGCGAAGCCACTTTGCCATAATCGATCCACCGCGGGGTCGCGAAGTTGATGGCCTCCGCGCAGTTGAAGCCATGGTTGAAGCCAGCATGGTAGCCGTAGGGGAACGTCACCACGAACTCTCCAGCCTCCTGAGTCACGCGACTGAAGGGAATCCCATTGTCCTTGAGGACAGTGGGCGAGATGAGGGCCACCTTGTGCCTCAGGAAGGCCCCACACCCCCGGGAACTGCCGGGGAACAGCACCCGGGCCAGGCGTTCCAGGCGCTGGCCGTGTTCTGGGGGCACCGCGTACCACGTCTTGGGCTCCCCGAAGTGCAGGTAGTTGATGCTGTAAAGGTCCATGTCCTCCGTGTGCCAGGCAAAGGTGGTCTTCCACATGCCAAAATACAGGTAGGGCGTGTTGACGCCTTGGATGACAACTCCGCATTCCTGCTCCAGGAGGTCCAGAATGGTTCCCAGGTGCCCAAGGTTCCATTGCTTAGTGTTTTCATCAAACAAGGAGCCACTGACATCAGCACCGTAAATTGGTGAATCATATATGCGACTCTTCCAGTATTTTCTCTCCAAATCTTCAAAATCCAGGTGGGGTGGAGTCCGATATTTTTCACTGTTTGCCAAAAGGCGATACTCCCCCAGGGTCATGGCTTTCTTCTTTTTATGGTATTGAGTGAACACCCCTTCCTGCCCAGAGGCCACCTGCTGGAGGGGAGCGGCTATTACAATGTCACTGATGTCAGCATAGGTGCCTCTGGCTTTCCACTCCTTGGGTGGAATGACCTTGGCTAGGCCAGCTCGGTGTGCACCCTGGGACTCCATGTAAGCAATGTATTTGTTGAAGTCTGTAAATTCTTCCATGGTTGGGTAAAATGTCATGATTGTAAAACTTGGGTTCTGGGTACCAGAGGGCACTCAGACCCCATTGTCACAATACACTAAGCAGCAGGTCCCCAAGGGGGCTCCTCTCTAGTCAGTCTTTTTTGCCAAAAGGAAATAGAGTGTCTCCCTCAGCAGCAGGCACACAACGCGATCCTGCCTCAGTCTGGAGCTGTGTGCGGTGCCTCAGCTGGTGGTTTCTCTGTCTCTGAAGCCCCTCCTGATCCCCACGTTTGGGTGCAAGAGTAACCTCACCCCGCTCTGCTGGATGGTCTCTCAAGGATATTCAAACATGAACCCTAAACAAGAAAAATACAAAATATTTTACTACAAGTGCACAGTAAAAGTAATACTCAGGTAGTGTGAAACTAATCAGAATTTGTGTGGTCTGTTAATATCAGGATACAAGGTCAAATCATTAAACACAAAAAGAGAAGCACCTCATTGAAATAAAATGGGAGATGGCAAGTATGAATGAATTAAGCGATAAAGTCAAGTATCTGGATGAATTAACATGAAAGAAACATTAAAAAATGGAAATAAAGATGTAAACAGAAACAATTGGAAAAGGAAACAGAATACCCAGTAGGGATAATGACAAAAAAGAAAAACTGATTCTTTGAAAAGGGTTAGAGTTAAGACCATAGGCATGAAGAGAAGAGAGAAAATATAAAGAAATGACATCATGATATAATAGGGAACATAGCTAATAATCCAGTAGAGTTTTTGATTTTTAGTGCACTGGATTCTTCTTAACAATGTGGTAGTGATAATTTTCTCAAAACAACAAATGCCCACACATGGTCCAACAGAGAAATAAACCAGCCAACCTTTCACCAGCAGTATCCCAATTCCAGAGGTCAATCCTCCAGGACCCAGAGAGGTTTCCACTTGGTAGCTAGACTGCAAATGAAGCCAGAGGTCCCCACCACCCTGGTTTTATAGCTGGGTAGCATTCTAATCCAATTAGTAAGTACCCAGCTAATGAAATCACAGGTCTCATTTCCTGGTTTGACATCTCACTTGTATCTATGCCCCTCCCTTTTATTTAAAAATTTTAACCAATATTAAAAAAAATTAAGTTGTTGAAAATTAAGCACTAGGAAAAGATAATCCAGACAAATATTAATCAAAAAGTAACCAGGGTAGCAAGATTAATATTAAATGTATTTTTAGGATGAAAAATAAATATTTATAGCTATTGAAATGAGAAATTCACTAGATAAATAATATGGTGATGAACCTTATGCACCTAAACCACATAGCACTGACACATAGAAACCTAGAGTGAGAGTTACCAGGTAAAACTCCTGAGCCCTCAAGTCCCGAGGACAATGATCAGGACCATGTCTGCCAGTTGAGGGGTGCAGAACCAGGGAGGATTGGCCCAGGGTGGGCGGCAGGGCCTGACCAGGGCAGGGACTTGGCTGTAGCACCGCAGGCTGCTTGGGTCACACAAAAGCCCAGCTCACAGGGACATACAGTAGGTCCCTCAACCCACGGCCACAGGCTGACAGGAACCAAGATCTGGTGTCACAGGAGGTACCTCAGACCTAGAGTGGCTCTCCCAGGTGCCTGGACCTCCCTCCAGCTGGTCAGCTCCTGGCCAGCCTGCACTCTGGGCTCCGAGGGGTCCACAACCCCGAGTTCATGCCTGCGTTTCCACAGCTCTTAGCACTCACGCTGCAGGATGTGCATGGACATGTCCATGGAAAAGGTCACCCTGGCCTCCCCCCAGCTGCACTGCCAGCCCACTCTGCTGTAATCAATCTATCCCTGGGTCCCAGAATTGATGGGCTCTTCGCAGCTGAAGCCAGGGGGATTGTCACCATAGGGAAAGGTCAGCTCCAGCCTCCTGATGCATAAAACTTAAGAGACTCCCACTGTCCTTGAGGACACTGGCCCAGGTGACAGCCACTTGTGCCCATGGTAGGCCTCCCAGCCCCGGGAACTTCCTGGGAAAAGTTCTCTGGGCAGGATTTTGATGGTACCTGCACATTCCCTGAGGCAGGTGTTGACTGGTATCTCCCAGCTGGCCCATTCCTTCAGGTTTGAATCCTGGATTCAGCCATTTCTTCTCAAAGGAAATGGGATATTTCTTTATTGTTAGTCAGAACAATTAGTGAAAATATATATGACTCAAAAAACAACTTTCTTCAGTCAGCTCCAGTGTAATCCCATAGTCACCTAATCAATCACTGACCATAGAATGTTCCTTTCCCATTGCTAGTCACCTTTGGTTTATTATCTCACTAAAGGAAAAATTTTTAGTGAAAATATTTCTTTAAAACCTTTCCTTTGTATGGAAACATACAAAGACGTATACATGCCCCTTCAGCCTCCGGTAAAGATTTTAAATTCTTAAACACCATTTCAAATGTAAACAGGAAGTACTTGCCTTAAATTCTCTTGTATATCGTTTTCAAACAAGATTCAAGGGTGAGAAGACAAACAGGGAGTTTTCTATTAATATGAAATCCTGGCCTCACAAGACCATATACAATATCCACAAATGTGTTTTCCCCCTTTTCAATCTGAGAATGAAGCAGCATGGATTGATGGCTGTTCCTACGTGTTGGATCAAAAATCAAATTCAATTAGCACCATCCCTATCCAGTCTCTTAATCCTCCAAACTCACTCATCTCAATTCTGGGTACTTCTTCAGTTTCCCATATAATGAAAGTAATTTGCCAGAAAAATTTGAAAAGTTTTGCCTATAAATTTAAACATGGGAATATACCAAAACTATCACCCAAGTGACAATATTTTTATAATATATATATTTTAGTTTTAATCTAGAAAAAATGCAAACTCCATCTATCATAATTTCCAACGTAAAAGTGAAAAATGTTTCCACAACTTAAAATCAAATGCTTTAAACGTTTAACAAAGTTCTTACTTCCTAAGCAGTCTCAACTTTTAACAAGAAAAAATAATATGTAGCCCAATTTTCACTAATGTGACATCCTAGTTTCAAATGAGACAATCCCAACCCCCCAAAGATGCTGTTTTCTCTGGGTCATCCTCAAAAGGAAAGGCAATAGAATGTGATCAAAGGCCAATAATGCTTTAAATCAATTAGCCCTCTCTTATCCCAAGCCCCAGGCTTCCTCCTGTCATACACCTTCAAGTATCAGATTACAACATATAAATTTAAGAGCTGGAAAACGTTGTAAAAGTGAAAATCCAGAGAGTATTTTCTGTCAGAGGTAAATACGATGGTACCTATAGGCAGATGTGGTTCACTTAATCGATTAGTCAAAAAACACGAATTAAGTGAGTACGATGTCTTCAAAGTACCACACGATCTCATGAGCGCAATACCAAAAATGAATGGGAAACTTAAATGTTGCCCACAGAGCCGTTTATTTAAAATCAGGAGGCCTGGGACATGTGGAGCAGTCGCCATTGAAATGCCAAATTGCGGCGATTTTGAAGAAATTGAGACCCAAATTCTGCTAACCCCTCATCTTGAAGATTCGACTCAACTTTTCCACACTTCTGGTTCTTCCTTCTATATAAATCGTGACAATAGTAGCATCTACCCTCCTTAGTTGACTTGTGGTATTAAATGATAGGCCTGATTTTGAAAGAATTAGTTGGTCCTCGTGTGTGCTCAGAAAGTAATCTACAGACATGTGAGCGAGTGCTAGGAGGTGAAAGAAATCTGAAATATCCAAACAAGACGTCATCAGCTGCCATTGGGATCAAAGGAGTCAGGTATTAACGAACCAAGAGGAAGTGACAACACTGAAGTTTATGAGAAGGGTGGGGAAGGTTTGGGAATGGACTGGCCGTGAT